CTCCAGATCATATGTTTTCTCAATGTTTGAATACACTGATGTTATTATTGTTTGGAAAGAAATTAAGTTGAGCAGGTAGGGTTAAATATTGTGCACATTTTCATTCATGTACCCATCAAATATCACACACTTCAGGTTTTTGTGTTGACAAAAGAGGTGTCAAAGAAATTATTATATAGGGTTGAACCATAATTGTTTTACTTTTGCAGGATTTGTTGATGACATAATTGAACCTAGAACTACAAGACGACGGATCTGCCAAGATTTGGAAGCATTGGCTGGGAAGAAGAGAGACAATCCTTACAAGAAGCATGCCAACATGCCATTGTAAAGGCATACACCTTGTACCAGAGTCAACACTTGCAATAAAGTATATATTTGCTGTTGGCTTTTGAGTAACAATTAATGCTAAGGTTACTGATTCTTTTAGGCCAAAGCTTTGATTTATATTTTCAGCGTTTTGAGCTAATAATAATTTCAGATGTCAAATTCATCACATTTTGTTGATGTGAAGCACATATTAAATTAATTCTGTACCTAAGAATGCATATTTAAACTGATTTAGAAGAAACATAAACCAGTCTCACCTCCACTAATGATCACATTATTGTAATGGTGAACCTGTCATAACAAATCTTTATTTGCTTTTTCTTTGTGTTATTTTCATTGTATATTATATATATATCCTTTGTGAGTTGTCTGCCTTAAGTACCATAGTTATTCCATCATCCTAAAGAAACGAAATAAATACTTGAATTAACTGTCATACTTCAGCACGACTATTATGCTTCCAATTGTAAATTCTCTTAACAAAGACATTGTCATCAGCCCCATTTGTTTTTAAAGCATAAATTAACACTTGATTGGTGTAGAATTCAATATAAGATTGCATTTAAAATTTAAAAAATTTCTTTTTTTATTGCTGCTAGAATTTTGTTTTAATTCCAGATCATATTCATATTGACATTTTCAGCTACCTATTTCAGGAATTTTTAAAGGTTTTTTTGTAATTCTTTAAATACACAACTTAATTAGGTTGCTTGTATCAGTCTGCCTATTCAGTGGACTATTCAGTAGGCTAATCTGCCAAGTAGAGTTTACATTTTTATTAAAGGTTACTGTCTTAAACTGGTCATCATTCAGAAGAGTTGGAGGAATGCATAGTTGGGATATTAATATTGTTAATGGTATTTTGAAATTATTTATTTTGTAAATCTGGATGGGCAAGGGATTAAAGCAATATAATCTCACAAATTTTTAGATCGTGGTATCACTATTTAATACCATAACTTACCAGAAATCACTGATTTTTGTCAATTTAACAAATATTGTAATGCATTGAATTTTTAAAAAAAATTAAATTTACCTGCTGTAGAGTTTACATATTTGCTGTAGAAAATATGGTCCCGGTGTGTTATACCATACCATAGATATTTCCTTTTATGTCTGGTCCTGACCTGCCATCTCATAATGTGCCTACTGATTAGGGTCTTTATTTTTTGTTCTACTCTTTACTTGTGACAACTGGATAGACCCGAATCTTCTGGCACATTATGAATCTTCTGGCACATTATGCGGTTTCAAATCTGGCTCTATGCAGATTAGAATTGGGTCAAACTCATAAGTGAGTATATTATTATGATATTATGTATGTTTACTGCCAAAGTTATGAAAAGATAAGATCTGAGAGATATCATGTCATTGATTTCCGGTGATAAGCACAGATATGTGTATCTAGCTAGAGTTATTTTGAATATTCAATGACTGTTTATTGCAAATGTGTATCGTAAGGATAGTCATCAGCATGGAGTACAAAACAGATATCTGTAAGTTTCTCTGTAGAAGACTGTCATCTGTTGCAAATTCATATACATAATGTATGAAGAGGAAATTTCTATAACATATATTTATTAATCCCCAAATTTGACCAAATGTGCAAGGTTAAGTTTTTGCGGTTTTTGCAATTTTTGAATAGTTTCAGTTTATGTTGTATTTATTTGATTTGTTTGTTTTATTTGATAATGCTGAGGTCATGAAAAGTGTGAAAATTATGTGTAAAAGAAATTTCCCATACATCATATTAGGATTGTCTTAAAATGATATTTATTTTGTGGTTGATAGATACTCAGTTTGATAGAGCCAATTTATATCTTAAATTCTGTTTAAGGAATAAAAGTTTTCAAGGTCATCACGCAGCTGATTATTTTTTCAGGTTTAGCTTTTGACAATCAAAATTATGACAGCATTGGTTCATTGAAATAATATCAATTATGTATACTAGTCTATAGGTATTATCATAGTGATACGAAACAGGTAAGAAAATCAAAACTAATTATTTTCAGCTATCAGTTTCAGTTTTTTCTGTCAAGCTGAGCTGTAATTCACTAGTTCCTTCAATTCTATATATCATAGAATTCACAGAGACAGTGGGAGCCACTGATTTTTGCCATTATTGTGACATTTGGGTTGGCACTAAAAATGGTAAGCTAAGGGTGATATATTACTGCATGAATGAAACAGGTCTTGATTTTATTATTCAGGGTTTAGGAGAATAATAATTTTTAAGAATAATTCACTTTTTGTATGGAATTTTTGCAAATGTAATTTTAAGATAATTGTGTTGTGTATAAAAAGAGATCCCAAATATTTATTATTCTAATCTACCTTTTTGTTAATATTGAGTTTAGAAACACTATCCTATCACTCATGTCTTTTGCAGAAAGACATGAACTCCACACTTCGTCTGTCATTAGGCTATGTATTGCTTTCCTTTTCAAATGTTTCTTCCTCTTTTCAGATAATTTACTGTCAAATTGAAACTAACTTTATTTCATAAGAAAATGGCAATCTCATAGTTAATGGAATAATTAGTTTTTCCAAATAAAACAACATATATTTTTTAAAAGGTAAAATTGTCTTTGTTTTCTTTTTGTATGATAGACATTTTGTGTTTTACTTATATCACATATACATACAAAATGAATGAAGATAATTAAGAAAGGATATGATTGGAATAAGAGTATTCATTTAAAATAATGAGTGTGTATTGTGGGGGATATTTTTAGCATAGCTTTAACAATTTCAGTCATATAGCTACAATGTCTGCAGTGTGGCAGTTCATTCTGATGTCTAGCACTAGGGCATCATGCCATAGAGTAGCATCTTTTCACACCCAGGCGTAATCCCAACACCAGGACGATCAGTCCTGACACTAACCTATTAATGCTGAGCGCCAAGCAAGGCAGCTGCTAGTACCATTGTTATAAGTATTTAGTGTGAGTGCACGGTTTTGAACCTGCAACCTTCCACACTCTGACAACTTAGACCAATGGAGCTATCCTATTTAAAACAAAATAGTGGTTTTAGTTGCTTTCTAGTGTATGTTAATGTGATTAAAGATATATATTCCTTTCTAAGAACCACTTTGGTGGCCTAACTGGAAGCTACTGGCAAGCTTTTTCACATGCCCACATTGAGCCCAAGACAAACCCACATGGAGAGAGGTAAGATGGAAGTGATCGGTAACAAAAAGGAGTACAGAAGTGTATGTGGAAGAAAAAGTGGAGAACTGTAGAAAAATTTATAAATGACAAAATGAACATATAAAACAGATTTAAAGCTAAAAGGAAATTAAGTAAACAATTTAAAGAGGAAAATGAAAAAGCAAAAGAGTGTAAATGTCTTATGAATTAGTTGAAATATGTCAATTTGATACAACGGACTGAAGATTTAAAAATTAACGATCATTGCACCTTATAATTGCCATGCAACTCATTATAATGCTGCGGTTAACTGAGAAAATTAACGACTTTTTAAAAAGATAAATGTTAGAAGAGAAAATAACTATTCTTTTGAACAGTTTTCATAAATACTCGCCAAGATTGACTGTATTAACATTATGAACAAATATGGGCATGGCATGGCATGAAGTGGTAGCATAAATTGAACTGGACAGTACGAGTGTCTTCAGAGCAAATCATTATACACCAGAGTTAATATAAGCTGTTCAAATATAAATACTGTTGTCTGAATATGCATTACCATTACATAATTAACAAGCTTTTGATCCAACCAGTAATAATAATGATCTAAAAAATTAAACATAATCTGTAATTTGAGCATTACACCAAATAATGAGTGGCAATACATCGGTAGAAACATTATGATAATGGACCTGAGGACCATAATTGTCCATCAAACTGTCAGTGTTATGGAAAGCCAGAGCTATCCAATGATATGATTCAAGTTTGCAAACATTACTGTGAAGTATGTACTGTTAAATTCTGAAGAAAAAAAATTGCTGATGAAATTTACTTGGATATATGATGTGAAGTAAAAATGAGATTGACATATTTCTTTGAACTAGATAGCACGTGTCTGATGGAAGGAATGGGGATACTGAATCATTATTATTTCGAATGTACTTTAATTATTTATTTTTTTTTTGTTTAAGTCCTGCTAAAACATAGTAGACAGCTGTTTCCACTGACAAATGCACCATTACAAAAGTTGCTTTCAAATGTTATTGTGGGCAAACACGACGATGACTTCGATGAAAACATCACACGATTTCAGTAATTTATTTCTGAGTAGTTGTATACTTATTGCAATGTTAAGCATTTTGGACAGTATATAAATTTATATATATTAGGAAGAACAACCAATCTACAGAAAGCTATTGGCAACTTTTCTCGTGTACCTATGTTCGTCGAACCCGTGATTAGAATCCATGCAGAGGGAGGCGAAATGTCCTTGATATGTAAAGGTGAGAGCCTTAGAAGCACATATTTCAGAGTAAGACTAAACTTGTCTTGTTGGATATGAAGATAGATTTTGTTTACGTAGTGGTGTGTCTCTGTGTGATGTCTAGCACTGGGGCAGATATGTCGCCCAATAAAACACATCATCCTGATCTCAGGCCGACCAGTCCTAACACTAACCTTGTAATGCTCAGCTCCTATCGCGGCAGCTGTTAGCATCATTTTTACAAGTCTTTGGTATGACTCGGCCGGGGTTTGAACCTGCGACTCCACCCCACCCGCATCCAAGGCGGAAGCTCTAACCATTAGACCACTGGAGCGGTAATTTAGTTGTATGGAGATGAAAACTGGTAGCATTATTGATTACAATAACTTGGAGAAATAATTTATAGCCTAAACTATCAATGAATAGTTTTAAATATCGACGTGCCAAAGCTGATAACAGTCCATAACAATTCACCACAAATTAAATAATAGAAAATAACGTGGGTAAGAAGTTTTTGTAGGACAGAAATGGTGGCAGATTTGTAATAGCTATTGCCTATGATATAAATGATATCGCAAAACAAATAATTTTAATAATAGTGACGGTTGCACGAGTAGACTTTATAATTAAAAAAAAGTTTAAAATTTTGCATTGAAGCCATGAATTCCTTACCCTTTTATTGTGTCTATACATCAGATAAACTAATGGTAGAAACAAAATCTGCAAAGCTATTTTTTAGAGTCCACTGTTTATTTATTTGTACCAGACAATAACTGCGATACCTTTCGGGACAGCTTTGCTGTCATTTCTGCCACCACTTCCACCTGCACTTGTTCTTCCTCATCTTTTTACAAAATGTGCCATGTATAGAATAAGAATTGTTACTATCAAACCAAAGAGGGGTCGTAGTCCGTGTGATCTCTTTAATTTGATAAGTACCCTCACAAAAAGTCCAAAATGTTCAGAGTAGTCAGAAAAAAGAGGAACCAAGTAATTTTAACTAAAGAAGGAGTTAGTTGATCGGTAAATACATATTAAGAATATTCTGTTGTCAATAATGGAAAATCGAATTTTCGAATTTACTGATACCTGTATTAAAAATGTAATACGCATGGAACAGGACAATCCAGGTTGGGGTTAGATTTTAACGCAGACACTTAAAACAAATTTGTGAATGTGATGTTTATTTATAATGCAATTTAAATGATTAACTATAACACCAAACTCTACTTATAAATTCAAACAAGGTATTTAAAACTATGCGGACCGAGTTAAACAACTGATATGAGGAAAATGATACAGTCTCTAACATGGATGAATTATAACCTAAAAGTTAAATAAGGCGACAAAAAGATCTAACGAGTTGAAAGTTATCAACAACAAATACTAATTTATGGATCTATCACCATGAATGATCAACTTCTTTTTGATAATTAAACAAAAATATACTGATTAATCTACCACTTCGGCGATTAAATTACGGATTTACAATACTATGAATAACTAGGGATAAAAAAAAGATTATGCAATTTGTACAAATGCAAATAATATTTCATACATAAACAAGATAGATACATATGTACATATTTTCATTCAAATAGATATAATGAATACATCTGGATTTTCCGTCAAATAGGTATACTGAATACGTTAGGATTTTCGCTCAATGATACTGGAAAAACGACCCCTGGCGTCCAGTTGATGATCATAAAGTATCTTCAGTCCCACGTTCTGTCGGATGATCAAGGCGCCACCACGCATGGTCTTCCCTTCCTAGTCTGCTGTAGGAGTCCTCAACAGCCGTTTTCGCTCCAGACCCGTTGGTCCAGAAGCTTTAGTCCCTTACCACAAGAAAATACCAGCTCTACGGCCAAAATCACACACACACACAAACACACACACAAAAATTCAGACAGCTGGAAATGTAATTGCACATGGTCAGATACAAATACAATGTCAACATTACGCATGCGCTCACGTGAAGTTGCATGTTACATATTCAATAATTTAATCGGAATTACTGTACGAGATTATTATAATAACCATATTCGTGTATGAATCCATATCCAATAAGAATAATCTTGAAAATAATATGAACTTTAACAAGATTTTATCCTTTTATACAATCAACATTTAAATTAATTCGTTTGTTGAGCTATAAAATGGCTGGCTTGAAAACAGACTGTAGTGTGTCTAACAAGATGGTGTCATATAACAAGTCTGACTATTCGTAAAAATTTGGAATAAATACAGGAACGTCCAGTATATCACACAATTCCATCACATAATAGGGCTAGCAAAAAGAGAAGACAAATGGGTGCATTGGTTGGATGTTAAGACATGTATGTACTTTCTGAATTGTATTTTGTCTTTTAACATGCTTTCTGAGACAGATTTAAGTTATAGAGAGAGAAGTTGTTTAAGTCACTTAAATAAGAGTAGAAGCCAAAGGCCATTTTAGTGTCTTCCTCTACTAACATAGTATATCTTTTGATTCACATCAAAATAAAATGGCTGTTCGTTTGCACTGATATTAAGACTCGTTTATTCTTAAGAATTTAGTATAGCTGACAGTAAATTCATATGGGTAAATAAATACTGGGACTGATTTTTCTCCACCTTCTGGGAAAATAATTTGCTAGAATCCTTCGTGGCTGTAACCATCGTGGTAATTGCCACAACCTTCTCTTTCGGTAGTTATTTAGCCTGTCATTTAATGGTAATGATTGAATGTTGTCTTTTAATATGCTCTTTAGTTCTGATAAATGTCCATCTATGTGTATTAGTTTCCTTTCACTGTTTTCCAATGGTTTCTTTTAACATTTTAGGTGTATATGTATCTTTGCTGACATTCTTTATTATGTGTTATCTTTGTTTACCTTAAAATTACGTATTATAATGTATTTTAATTGACTACTTTTATGGCATTCGCGTAAAAAAAACCCTCTCTCTCTCTCTCTCTCTCTCTCTCTCTCTCTCTCTCTCTCTCTCTCTCTCTCTCATTAAACTACGATTCAACCGTTTTCCTGAGACGAATAAAATGCTGACCAGGCGGATTATGATGTAACGAACACAATATTTCCAGTATGATAGAACGAAGCCTATTTTCTAGGTTGGAACTACACACTTAGGCACTAGCGTTTTCTCAGATTTGGCCAGGAACTTAATTAGAATAGTAGAATAGCTCTGTGCTGCCTGTATTGTTAGTTCTAAAATCAGAAAAGGCTTCGGTTATCTCTTTTACAGGTAAGAATCGTTTGTGTTCGTAAAATTCTTAAAGAATAAGTACTTTTAATGTTGAAGATTTCAGTGGTAACTTTAGTAGTTGCAATATTCTTGTGAGTTCTCTCTCTATATATATTTTAATATTATATGATGGAATGTTTAATTGTTTTTAAGAATTTATATTTGCATTTGTATTAATAAACAAATTAAATAACATTATGTTGAACTTTAAACGTACTAACTTACTGTTAGTATGCCATACAAGACAAAGCATGAAATTGTTTTAAATTTTTTCATGCTGGCTTGCAAGAATTTAATTTTTAAATGTGTTTTTCCGTGTGTTACAGAAAATGAGATTTATTTTCACTAAAATTCACCTTTTCTAAAGTTGCGACGAAAATAAAACATCACACATGTTACAGTCATTCAATCTTCTCTTAGGATATAGAGTCGCGGTGTGTTAATATGTTGACGTTAGAAGGATATTTTTAATATTGATTTTTTTTCCGCTTGTTAAATCCTTTGACTTTGGTAACAGCTGAAGATGGTTAAATTACTCTCAGATACGTTCAATAATTTATCTGTAGAATTTGTGCGACTCTTAGAATGCGCAATAATTTTACGAGGAAGAATTTAAATACAGTCTACATAGGTCACATAACAAGCACTCAATTAAAACAGGTCCGGGAATGGAACATACCAGTCACTGTTCAAAGTTGTCGTGAATGTGTCATGATACTTTTAGCCTAGTTTTCCCCTCAGTTCGTTAGCGAGGATGACATTTTCTTTAGCATAGAATCAAGATGTTAATAGAATAAACACGCAGTGTTGTTAATGTGTGTGAGTTCCAGCGAGTTCCATTCGCATGATAATTACAGCCTGCAAATTTCTCAACGTTTCATGTAACTATATAAATTCACTCTATATTTTGACAAAAGTTATTTCAAAATAAAAGGCTACATGCAGTAAAAGCTGAGAAAATAAAAAGTGATAAAGTTGTATTTTACACTTGTTGGCGTAATAACGTTTAAGAATATGTTGATATGACGTATGTGTCAACACGTTTCTTCACCTTAACTGATTGTAGATAGCAGACTCGCTCGCGTGAGTTCGAGCATAAAACTATTTCTTTGAATACACCATGCATTTTACGTAATAAAATTTTACCTGTTTTCTAGATTTTGGTGGTTTTGGGTTGTTTTTTCTTGGGGGGGGTGTTTTTCTTAAAGCAAGAGACTAACATACAGACTGGATGATAGAACACTTTCCCAATCTTACGACGTTAACTGAATAGATTATATATATATATATATATATATATATATATATATATATATATATATATATATATATATATATATATATATATATATATATATATATATATATATATATTCTTATTTTCATTTGATGTTATCCTGTCATTAAAATTTTCGCTATGCAAATGCAATGACATGTGAAACGTGTTTAGACGTTTTATGAAGGTGTTATTGTGGCGGTATTACAATTTGCTGCATTTTTTGGCAGGGTTTCATTATGGTTGTGAGCATTTTGAACAATAAAATGTGTTTTATCTCATTCATTATTGTGTGTAAAACGCAATAATGGATGAAATAAAACACATTATATTGCACAGAAAGATGCTGATGTGCAAGACAGATGAATACAATGTTTACCATGTGACTGATGAATATATCAGTTGCTATATGTGATCAATGAAATAAAATGTTTTAATATAGAGATGGAGTAAAAACAAATTATAATACATAAAGAAATCAGCAAAGTGAAAAATGAAATGCAAAGGCTAGATAAGGAAAATATTGCAAAACCTACGAAAGTAAAAGGGCACATATTTTGGGTCACTAAACAATTTTAGCAACTTTAAAAATAACAAGTCTTAACTGAACTAAAAAAATATTTTCTAGAAACGTGTAACAAGGCGAGGAGTAGCAGATAGCTATGTAGTCGTGGAGGTAGTTGTAGCGGTAGAAGTAGTTCTACATATTCATTTATTGATTAATTAACAGAGACTTGACACATATTGTCAATTACTTGGGTACAACACTACCCGGCACAATTGGCATTATAATAAGTTATATTTTGACATTT